TCGCTAAATGCACTTGAGCTAGTCCCACATTAACAGCTGCTGTAAACAAACTAATTGACAGATGGCGCTCAAATTTGTACCATATGTCAAAAAAGTGTGTACCAACATAACAAAAAAAAAAAATTTGTAAAAAAAGGTTTATTACTTAAGAAGTAGTTAACAAACAACAAAATACTGAAGAAATCATAATTTAATACTGACGGTCTCTAAAATAATAATACTTTCAAAACATTTGCAAGAGCTTAGAGATTCACCTGTCCAGTTAGAATATAATATATCTTAAAATCGAACTTAAGGCAACTATTTCGAAACAGCTGATGATAACATTATGCGATAAAAATGAAGCCTCATTTTCTTTTTTTTTTTCCTTTTCAACGGTTTTAAATTAATTTGAATGTGTTGAGCTTATGTTAAATACACTAGCAACACTAAACTAACTTAGCAACCTTGAAATATCAAAAAGGAATATTTCTGTCGTTTAGTGTAAACCAGACTAAAACGAAATTAGGTAACATCTTTCCTAAGGACATAACTACTACTCGTTTTTAACTACTATTCGTTTTTGAAACTAAAGTGGGTCTGTCGCAATAATCCTCAAAGGATGCAATGACGTGGTGACATCCCTTTTAAAATCTAATCTAATCTGGTTTAATACAGAATGTGAATATGAATCAGTAGAAATTGTATATTGTTTGTACGAGTATTTTAAAGGATTAGATAATTCCAGAAACTGATAATATCTCTCAACTTCTCTTCTAAATTAAGTAGTTAATTTAAAATTTTATTTTCCAAAATATTTTGCTAATAAAACAATTGTTAACGAGTGTTTTCTCATACTAAAATCAAATAAAAAATCGCAACATTTGCCTAAATTTACTTGCTTTGAATTTCGGGTCTATGAAGGCTACGCTCCAGTTATTAAGCAAACAATCAGCTAAAATACAAAATAAAAAATGTATTTTGTGCAAAATACATAAAAGAAATGTAACTTTTCCGGCAACTGAACCGAAATTTCACTATTAACCTAATAAAATTGTAATGCCAACTGGAACATAAAATGTGTTTGGTGTTGTGGTTTCGTTTGTTTTATTTTGTGTATTTTTAGTGTGCTGTGTTGAAAACTTGCCACAAAACTCCTGTTTACATACGTAAAAATATGATAACAAAAACAAAAAAAAGGAAAAAAAGGAGCAAGAAATGACAGCCAGTGAACAATAAAACAAGCTAACCTCAAATCGTTACACAAAATGGTGGCTGCCATTAAAAACATTAAGTGCAACTTACATTGCACCAAGAGAGCCGCACATACCAACGAAGCACGTTGTACAGCACGCTCACACGGCAGTCCTTTCGATATTGAAATCGAACATTTCAATTTACTGGAGTTGCGATACTCATAATTTATAAATTTTTAAATCTATTTTCGAACAGTTTGCCACATTCATTTTTATGTTACTTTCCTGCTCCGTATTGTTGTTATTTTATACCGTTTCGTTTGGGTATTGTTTTATGTTGGTTTTGTTTGTTATTGCTTATGGAAATGCATTTTCTTTTGTTTTTTAATATTTCATTTTTATGTCTTTAGAATTCACCATTTTGTTGATTTATTGGTGGAGAAAGAATCGCATGCCAATGTTGCCCAAATGTTGAACGCAGAGTACAAGCAATACAATTGCCACTAGATGTAGCAGCTAGCAGTTGCTTTGGGTAGAAAAAAGTTACCGCAGCTGAACATTTTGCGTTTGGAAATGTGTACACCAGCCAGCGAAGATGAATTGTTACGCTTTTCGTGTCATGCATGAGGACGATTATGTTTACTAGTTGACAGCTAGAGCAGCTTTAAGCAGAGCAGCAGAGCGTTATGATTTTGGTTAGAAAACATACATATTGCATGCATGCATGTAAAAGTCACGTTAGCCAAGAAGAACAAACGGCAGTGTAATTCCAGGACTTTTTACTTTTACGCACACACATCGCCACTTTACGGTGCTTCAAATGGTTTAGTAAGAAAATGGTCGCATTAGCCAAGAATTAGAATGTCACCGCAATGCTTCCGCTGCAGTAACGCGCATTTTTCTGAAGTTATCACGTACGCAATCCGTTTAGAAATTCTCAAAGCGCACCAAATTTCTTCAACCGTGTTAGGTTTCCTACATAACGCATACAAATAGACGCAAGCACATGTTCCTGAACATTGAGCACCCTCACATCTCACTTTAGACAATGTACAAACAACAATAACAACAACAATAGCAAAAACTTTTTAAAATTCAAACAAAACCAAAGCCAAACAAAAACCAAAAAACTGTTTCATTTGGTTTTATGCGGAAATTCGCTACGTCTGCTGCTCACTTGCTCACTGCTTCGTTTTAGGTTCAAAAATTGCTAAACTTACCTATTCTAGCCTTCCTGCAGCAATTTTCTTTCAGATGCCCCACATACCCCATACTCACATTGTCTCACTCTAATGCAATTCATAAATGTGCAGTTTGGGAAGCGCATTGCATGCACTTTACGTGTTTGCATTTTTTGTGTGTTTATTGAAAATTATTTTCGGCACGTTATACGAGCAACGCTGAAGGAATGCACGAAAGGTGCAGGAGTGCTGCTGCACATTGAAGTGCGCATTGCGGAAAAGTATCATGGCGAATGTGTGGGCTTAGTGGAGGATTACGTTATAATTTTTTCTCTCCTCACTTTTTAGGTATTAATTGAATATTCGTGATTTTAATGGAAAAAATAATTTTGTGTAAATGCGAATACAAAAAGGAGCATCTTACTCGTTGGAATTTTTCTCAAATAAAATTTTGTTGCGCCGGAAGGTGCAGCAAGAAAGGAATCACTGTTGCTATTTTTTCAAAATACCAACTCCTGAAAAGTATGAATTTTTATGAATGTTCTGTTCAATTCTATGTATATACTAAATATGGGAAAACATTAACTTTGAAATCAAACGAAAATCAGAATATTTTTAACGTAGGTTCAACAAAGCCATGCATTTTCTATCGTCAATCAATTTAAGATAATATACTGGAGTTTAACGACGATTTCTAGTATTTTAATTGGACGAATAATTATGCTTAAATTTATATACTAAATTGTACACCATTTGTATACAAATAAATACAAAATATGCACAATTGTATAATAATAAATAAATACTGCATAGACAATCTAGTAATAAATACTGGAGTTTATCGACGATTTCTAGTATTTTAATTGGACGAATAATTATGCTTAAATTTATAACTAAATTGTACACTAATTGTATACTAATAAATATTAAAATATATAGGAAATAGTAAGCATAATTCAACTTAACATATGTTTGAACTTTTAAAATATAAACCAAGTATATGTAGATGTTAAATAATGGGAAGATACTTCATTATGCAAGAAATTTAATATATATTAAAATATTAATTTTTCTACAGAAAAGACAAATGTGCTATGAGTTTCAATCCAAATAAATTTTGTGTTACTTATCCACAAGTAACGTCTTATAGTTACAATGTTAGTATCACAAAAGACAATAGATGTCGCCGAGTGCATGGGCTGACAGTTATATTAGCATACGCCCACTCAACTAAATCTAACCAAAAGTAATACAACATAACAACAAAAATGCTCCACAGTTGAATTTTTAATGTCTATATAAAAAAGTGCCTCGCTACAGCGCTATAGCCTTTTGAATGACTTAGCTACAAAAGTATTTTGATTTCAAACTCTTTAGAAATGTTGATAATGCAAGATCAGTTAAATGTCAACAAGGTTGTTTGGATTGTTGTAAGTTGACATGATGATAACTATTTAAAATATCTAATTTTTTTAACAAAATTTGGTAACACAATATGATCTCAATAATAAGTAAGTTCAATCATTTGGAGATAACGGCAGTCTAGATACAGAATCTTTATGTAATTATATTTGTCGACATAAGTAATTCTTTCTAATTTTTTTTTTTAATTTTGCTGAAAAGCTTTAAAGATAAGTGGATTAATACCATCAAAAAATACATAAAGGATAGAGCCCTGAAATTATTTGCAAAAACTGACAGATTTACTAACACCGCGTTATCAAATCTCAAAATGGTTACAGGCTCTTCGGAGAGGTATGTAGATCTGAGGTCAATTATTGCTTAGTCTGATGAAGTGATAAACATTAATCTAGTTAAGGTGTAGAGAGGGGTTTTGAAGAAACCTAGAGTTAAAAAAGAGTATAAGTGCTTAAGTGCACTAGCTCAAAACAGCTTCAACATAATATAAATTAAAAAAATAAATTATAAAAATAAATATTTAAATAATAAATATTTTAATTTATTAATTACTATGGTAGGAAGAGTTTGATGGAATTATTATGGATTGTTAAATTCACTTTATAAATAATTTAAAGTGAACAATTGTGCTTAATGTGTTGACCCATATGCCCAAGGCTTAAATTCGATATATTTTAATTCTAACACTTGCAGTATAAAAACTTAATGCAAGTAAATTAATGTAAGATATTTTTGAACCACACTGATAGTCGATATATGTCGATTTCCGTCACAGCTGTTTAGTAAAGGATTCACTTGATTAAAAATGAAATATTTTTATTTTTAAAAATTTTCCCACTGTTACCCGCTTTTCGATTTGAATTGAATTTTTTGTCAAAGTCTTAATACTTAAGTAATACTTAAGTACTAATTAAATTATTTTTTCTTTCCTTGCAATGAGAGCTTAAATATTTTATTTGATTAATAAATCTACCTACTGTATTGGTTTCCTTTTTTTTAGAAATCAAATAAAATTTGAGGAACTAAAT